AGAACAGAAGGCTGTCATCGGCAAAAAAGAGATGATTAATGGACGGAGCGGACGGGGCAATAGAAACACCCTGAACCCCTAGAATCCCTCTCTGCTTGTTGGAGTAAAGCGGAAAAAGCCTCAGCCACAATGAGGAAAAGATACGGTGATATCGGATCTCCTTGCCGTAGCCCACGAGTGGGCGTAATATGCCTAAAGGGTCGTCCCCGAATTAAAAGCGAATAAGAGACAGTAGTCACACAACCCATGATTAAAGTAATAAACCGGTGTGGAAAACCCATAGTACTCATCATCTTCTCCAGAAAAATCCATTCAACACGATCATAAGCCTTGGCCATTTCTAATTTCAGAATCAGTTTCTTTTTCCCATTTTTTCCCCTTCTCTTTAGACAATGGACAGTTTCAAAAGCAGCTAGGACATTATCCAAAATCATACGGCCTGGGATAAAAGTACTCTGGAATTCAGAAATAACCTCAGGTAGGACCTTCTTAAGTCTGTTGGCAAGAGTTTTTGAGATAATTTTATAGAGGACATTACATAAGCTGATAGGACGAAACTCTGAGACGCAGGTGGGAGAGCGGACCTTTGGAATCAAAGCCACCAGCGTATGGTTAAAAGTGTTGACACCACTATTACCATTTTAAACCTGCAGACATAAGTCACCGACGTCTTGACCCACAATGTCCCAATATTGTTGATAAAAGAGAGCGGGCCTACCATCTGGACCCGGAGCTTTCGTCGGGCCAATAGATTTAAGAGCTATTTCAATTTCAGATCTGGAATACGGGATGAGCAAACTCTTATAAGAGCGGGAGGACACTCGCGTCTTAACCGCAGTAAAAATCTCCGCATCAGCAACTCCAGCATTGGACTTAAAAAGGTTGTTATAAAACTCAACAAAAACTTCCCCTATTTTATCATAGTCACTCTGCCATTGGTTATGAGCATCCAGAATCCCACCAAGGGCATTTGTCTTCTTCCTACTCGTGGCTTGCTTATGGAAAAAGGACGTGTTACGGTCCCCATGACGAAGCCAATTGACTCGCGATCTCTGCTGCCAATAAATTTCTTCTTGTTCAAGACACTTGTCAAGCTCAGATTCAACCAATGTAAAGGAGTGGAAATTCTGTGTCGACGACGATTTTGACTGAAGATTTCCCAACCTGATCCGTAACTCTTTGACTTTCCTGGGTACCTGGCCAAACTTTTGGGCACTCCAACGTGTTAAGCGGCTTGCACAGTTAGCAATATTCTGAATAGGCTCCACCATAGATTGCCACGATTGACGAACAACCTCACTACAAGCAGCCTCAGTAGTCCACGCCTCCTCAAACTGGAATCGACGACGACCTTTAGGAAGTCGATTAATGGCATCATGAGGAATGTCAGATGTAATAAGAATCGGATGGTGGTCAGAGGAGAAGGCAACTAAATGATTGTAGATGAAGTTGCCCCAGCATTGCAGCAGTGCTAGATTACCAAACCCTCTATCCAACCGAGCCTGCACATTAGCTGCATCCTTCCTTTTATTGCTCCACGTAAACTGATAACCTGTAAACTCGAATTGAAATAGACCACAATCTGAAATAGCCTGTTTGAAATCCTCCATAAGCGTATCACGTCGCAAAAGGGCTCCACTCTTCTCATGATGTTCCATTATTTCATTGAAGTCACCACAGCAGAGCCAAGGGCCGACATGCACCCTACATAAACGCCGCAGCAATTCCCATGAATGATGGCGCTGGGTATGGTCAGGGTGACCATAAAACCCAGTCACCCTAAGAGACCCAGTCACCCCAATTTTTAATTTAAATTTTCACAATTTGTAAGAAAACCCCACTATCTTCCCAAACTACCCTTAAATACACCCCAAGTTGAAAAAAATAAGAAATAAAAGAGATTTTCTATTTAAACCCCACAAACTACCTTTGGAGGAGGAAGTACGTTCTGGGCATGAGAAATAGTAAGTAATTAAATTAATTTTTTGTAAACACATATGGGATTAAGAGGTTGCAAAGGGAAGTTTCATATTTCATGTAGTATGAAACACGCAATGGTGTGATTCTTATTTGACAGACACAGCAAATTGTTGGGGTTTTTATATTCCAAATAGGACAAATTGTTCAACGAATTTGACAAACACTTGATTTGTTGACAATGTTAATTTATAGATTGGTAAATTTTTCGTCCATAATATGTGATCCTTATTTGATTTCTACCTCCGAATGCCATCTAGAATTGGTGGGGTTTTCAAACATTGAAACACTATGTACTGAAGCTTTAGGCACTTACTTTGGGTTGATTCATTCCACTATTATTGTTCCCAGCACTTACTTTGAGAAAGAGAACAGCTTTACCAAAACATCAGGTATAAATTTTAAATCAAAAATCAAAACAACAAACAACCAAGCAATCAACAGCCAAGAGTACCCAAAAAAAAAAAACAGCAATCAACAAAGGGAAGAGAAGAAGATTATTACAGCGAAACAATCAACAAGTCTTTCCATCAACTCCCACGTAGATTTCAAAGAGGTAGGCTCGTCAATGTTCTATGTCTTTAAAAGAGGAGCAATCTAGCAATAGGATGTAGAAGAGTTTGTATTTTTCTAAAACTTAATTTGAAGTGTGGTGGGGTGTGTGGAGTGTGTGGGGTGTGTGGGGTGTGTGGGGTGTGTGTATAGATGTACTAGGGTTAAGTATTAAGTTGGATGACCTTTTTTGTCTTTTTACATAATAATAAAACTTACAGCTTAATGATTTAAGTATTGGGGTGAACAAAGAGAAATTTGGGGTTTAAATAGAAAATCTCAAATAAAATAATTTAAAAAAACCAACCTAGCTAGATGATCTATATGATCAATTAAAAAGAAAATTCTAAAACATAAAAGAACAATTAAAAAGAAACCTAGCTAGATGATCTATATGATCTACGAATTGAAATAACTAATTAAGCTTTGGAAGGCGCCTTGGGTGGAGAGCTTTGATCAGCGCAACTTTGTCTAAGGGCAGGAACATAATATCTATTGTTGAACTAGTCTAACATCACGCCAAAACAATTCTGATCAATTCCATCGATGGCAGGGCAATAATCTGGTCCAATGCGACTATAATCGCCAGTTAAAAGTGCAGAAATGAGGTCTCCCACTAATTCAGTTAGTGATGACCAACATTTTTCGTAATCTTCTTGCGTTGGTGGCTTCCATGTTGGCGGTGCTGGAACTTGTGGTGGCAGCTGCGAGGCTGGTGCTGATGGTGGTGGTGGCGTCAAAGGCGGCCCAAGGTAGAACCATAGTCGTCAGACTGCCTTCGGATGTGCCTCATGATCAACATTAGGGTTATGTCTCCCTAACGCTACATTGAACAGCAATGTAGTATATTTCTTTCGCTATAAACTCTAATTATACGTGTGTTATAATATAGGTTTATGAGAAAATTTGATGTCCCACAAGGAGTATATTTCTTTGTCCACAACACTTATTATGTGACCATGTTATGTGACAATTGCTTTAAACACAAAGGAATATATTGCATATTGCAAGTAAGATTCTCTCATAGACATAAATTCTATGTGCAATATTGTCGAAAATGTATCGATAATATGTCGATATATTTTGTTGCTGAAAATAATATCGACACATTATAAATGATATATCAACAATTCATTTTTAATAAGAATGGACGCTAAACTATAGCCGAACTACTTTAATGAATTCATAATTTCACACATGTCGTGCCATGTTACCTCCATCACACCTAAGTAAGATAAAAGAAGAAAACAAACAAGTTCCAAGTTGTACTTATTTGGCCGTTGATTGCAACAGATGATTATTCCCCTGAATACTTTATCCACTATATTCACTCTCTGGTCTCAACTGCAAGTTGTAAAAAAAACTTAAAAAACAACTAATGGATTCCATGGAATCACACCGACCTGCAGATTATTACCATTACTATATCCTTCTCTTCCTCTCAAAATCTTTCTTCCTAGAGAGACAACTTTCCCGCAAAACGAAAGAAAAATAACTGCTTTCCCAGAAAATGGTCGAGCCAGAACAGGAAAGCCAAACTCAAGCCATTCCTAGTCAAAGAACATAGTGGACGACAGAGAAGCTGCGCTCATGGAGTTTGATGCTTTTTGGCCGTTGGATCCGATTCATTTTCCTTCTAAGCCCACGTCCCCTCCTTTGTTCTCGTCCACTGACCAGCCCTGTTCTCCTTTATGGGGTTTTCCTGATGGTGATGCTGATAATGATGATAAGCTCGCTGGACAAGTTGATCAAGCTCTTTCTAACCGTCCTCAATTCAGTTCCTGTGAGTTTTTCATATCAGTGCAAGATCTAATGTAAGGAGATCAGATGGACTTACCATTGAATTTGGTTTTTCTGAATCAGAAATGTTTTAGACGTTTGTATGTTCACTGTGATAATCATAGAACTCAGCTGAACAAATGCTTTCCTGGGCAGTGTTCGAAAAATCGGCCTAGGCGGCTAGGCGGTCGTGTCCTTTTTAATTTTAATTTTTTTATATAAATAGATTTATTTTCCTGACTTTAAACATTTATTTGGTATTGAGCAAATAATTGTACTCTTAGAATTAAACAACAAAATAGTTAAGGGTCAAAAAGTGTTTCCTTTACTCGTTTCTCAATTCTCTGCAACTAAAGAGTATACCCTATTATACTGAAAATGTTGCATTTTTACATTCCTGCTGGGCCAGGAATTGAATTCGGAGACCTTGGTTCCTCTGAAATGAGTTCTCCTTGTTCATTAATCTTTGTTTAATTCTATCTGGTCTGAATATTCTTAGAATTTGAAGTCAACCATCTAAAAAATAAAAAGTTTATGGAAACTTTTGTCTTTTTGGCCTGAAATTCCTAGGAACTGAAAACACATTTCGTTGGCTTAACATATTGCTTCAGTTAGCATTTTGCAGTTGTTGAGTAGCAGTCAGGAGGTTCACTCATTTGAGTTTTCTCTCATATAATATCACAAAAATGCAGGTATTCCTGATCCGGGAAGGGAAATACCAAGAGAGAATGAGGACAGAAGAATGCTTACATCCCCCTTTTTGGGACTGGAACCTGTTGAGAATCCTAATGCTTATTGCTTAATTAAAGAGAAGATCACTCAAGCTCTGAGACAGCTCAAGGAATTGACTGACCAACAATTTCTAGCTCAGTTTTGGGCACTGGTGAAGAATGGGGGTCGGTATGTGCGCTCAACTTCAGGGCAACCCTTTGTTCTTGATCCTCATACTAATGGACTTCATCAGTATAGGATGGCTTCTCTGATGTATATGTTTTCTGTGGATGGAGAGAGTGATGGAATGGTTGGGCTCCCTGGCCGTGTTTTCCGGCAAAAATTGCCAGAATGGACCCCAAATGTTCAGTACTACTCCATCAAAGAGTATCCACGGCTTGGTCATGCTCAGCATTACAATGTTCAGGGAACCTTAGCTTTGCCCGTGTTTGAACCCTCTGGACGGTCCTGTGTTGGTGTTCTTGAGCTCATAATGACTTCTCCGAAGATCAGCTATGCTTCTGAGGTTGATAAAGTTTGCAAAGCACTTGAGGTTGGTTTATTATTTTATTTTCTGAGCATATATTAGTATTACATATTGTGTCATGCTCTTATTTAAACAAGCTTAGTGTACTTATTTTTTAAATTGATGGCTTTTGTTTTCATTTGAATACTAATACGGTTATATGAGTGAGCTTCAAACATGAAGAGGTTTGTCAGTGAAACATTTTCATTTCTCCTGCAGGCAGTAAGTCTGAAAAGTTCAGATATATTGGATCACACGAGCATGCAGGTGAGCTGCAATTACAATGTGTGCCTAATTTGGTATTCTTTTGGAACACAAGAAAGTAAATATGGATTTCTTCTATCATTTTCTCCTCCTCCATTCTCACAGATATATGCTTGGCACTTCTTGTAACAAGATTCAAATATGCAATGAAGGTCGCCAAACTGCTTTGACTGAAATCTTGGAGATACTGACAGTGGTGCGTGAAACTCACAAATTACCGCTTGCTCAGATATATGCACGGCTATACTCTTTAAAATAAATAAATAAATAAATTGGGCCGCCTAGGTGCTGTGTGGGTCCTTTTCAATAAAATAAATAGTATAGCCGCGTGCCTATACTCTTTAAATATCTAATGGGTGCCTTTTTTCTCTTTTTTTTTTTTATAAATTTTTTGTCCCTGATTTTCCTTTGTCGATAAGGCTAGTCTAGAGCATTATCCATTACATTTAGGCCATTCCCAAGGTATAGCTATTGTCCCCTTTTGATTTCTTACTTTTCCAAAGTTTTTATCCGTATAAAGAATTTAGCATTTTCCCATTTAATATTCGTATTATACACATATGTACGTATTTTTCAATAATACTTTCTTTTTTCATATACGTCTTAAAGACTTGGTATAATGAAAGCAAATGTATAATACACAGAGGTTGTTTTACTTCTTTTTTTTTTATTTTTAATTTGTTATTTTTAAATTTAAAAAATATAAAATTAGTTTCTATACTTTTGTTTTTTGGCCAACTTCTTTAATTTTATGCATGTAAGTCAGTAATACCTTAGCCTTTTTTAAATTTCTTTAATTAGTTACTTGCCCCTTGGCACATGCTCACGCATGTGCGAATTGGTTTTTATTTATTTATTTATTTATGGCTTTTTATCACAAATGGTCTCTAACGTTTGCGAAATTATCACATTTCGTCCCTAACGTTTTTTTGTGACACTAATGGTCCTTAAGGTTACTCTCTACACATCAAAATGGTCCTTGCCGTTAGCTTCCGTCAAATTTTCTATTAAGTTGCTGACGTGGCACGTGTGTAGAGCCCACACATCCAATAGTATAAAGCCACGTGGCTTTAAATAAAATAAAATATATTTTAAATATTTTAAAACTTAAATCCATAAAAAAGAAAAAGAAAAATACTTGCCCCTGCATTCTCACTCTGCCTGCGCGCTTCCCCCCTCGCAGACCCACCTCTTGCCTCTCTCTCCCTACTCTTCCTCCTCTTCCTCCTCTTTCTCTCTTCCTCCTCTTTCTCTCTCTCCCTCTCCCTCTCCCTATCCCATATGATTATGTGCAGGCACGGAGCCACTCTTCAGCTCCAAGTAACTCCAGCATTTCATAAAAACTTTACACTAAACTTATGTAATTGCTGGAAAAATATGAAAAAATCTACATTATTGGCCCCACAAAAAATGATGTGGAATCACGTCTAGAACATGTAAATGAAATTACCCATAATCCACGACCTTATATAAACCAGTTCTTTCACTTAGCCAAAGAGATGCATTTTTGGTTTAATTGGAGGGTCAAAAAATCAATATAGAATAGTGGGTTATATTTCAGAAACTAATGGCAGGGACCATTTTGATGTGTAGAGGGTAACCTTAAGGACCATTAGTGTCACAAAAAAACGTTAGGGACGAAATGTGATAATTTCGCAAACGTTAGAGACCATTTGTGATAAAAAGCCATAAATAAATAAATAAATAAAAACCAATTCGCACATGCGTGAGCATGTGCCAAGGGGCAAGTAACTAATTAAAGAAATTTAAAAAAGGCTAAGGTATTACTGACTTACATGCATAAAATTAAAGAAGTTGGCCAAAAAACAAAAGTATAGAAACTAATTTTATATTTTTTAAATTTAAAAATAACAAATTAAAAATAAAAAAAAAAGAAGTAAAACAACCTCTCCCGACGAAATTTCATCGACATAGGTCTACGCCGGCAATATTTGCATGATTAGACCTCTCATGACGAAATTCACCTATGCCGATGAACTTCGTCAGGAGAAAACTAATCCGGCAAACGGTTGCCGGCATAGACTTGTGCCAACGAAATTTAGTCAGGAGAGGTTTTAAAAAAATAAATAAATAAAAACTTAGTATCTTTAGGTCAATATATATATTTATAAATTTTCTTTTCAGTAATTAAATAAATCTTAGCCTGATTTAATTACTTTCATTAGTAATTATGTTCTAACTATCATTTCTCTAGTGAATAATTAGTATTAAATATTTTAATTAACGTCATAAATGATATTACTTAATAAATAGTATTTAGTTTTAAAAATTTTTGAATTTAATAAAATTCTTAAATACTAATTATTCAATAATTAAAAAATAATTAAAACATAAGTAATAATTAAAGTAATTAAAAAAGAGAAATTCAGGTTATGGTATTTATAGAGTATAGCCGCGCGGCTGTACCTTTAAAATATTCTATTTGTAGCGTATAGCCCGGCAGCTATACTCTTTAAAATAAATAAATAAATTGGGCCGCCTAGGTGCTGTGCGAGTCCTTTTAAATAAAATAAATAGTATAGACGCGCGCCTATACTCTTCAAATATCTAATGGGTGCCTTTTTTTTCTTTTTTCTTTTAATTTTTTCTCCCTGATTTTCCTTTGTCGATAAGACTAGTCTAAAGCATTATCCATTACGTTTAAGATTTTTTACTTTTCCGGAGTTATTACCCATATAAAGAATTTAGCATTTTCCCATTTCATACTCGTATTATACACGTACATACATATTTTTCAATAGTATTTCTATTTTCCATATACATCTTAAAGACTCGGTATAATGAAAGCAAATGTATAATACACGTATTGTACAAGTACACACATATTTTAATGATTATTAACACCAGAGCACAAAATAATTCAAAACAATTAATTACTATTTACCAAGTAATTTATGAAATTAGTAAAATATTTAAATATTCACTAAAGAAATAATAATTAAAATATAATAACTAATTAAAGTAATTTAAAAAAGGCTAAGGTATTACTTAATTACATGTATTAAATTAAGGAAGTTGGCCAAAAAACAAAAGTAAAAAAACTAATTTTATATTTGCCGGATTAGGTTTCTCCCGACGAAAATGCGTCGCCACATGTAAATTTCGTCGGGAGATTTCTAATCCGGCAAATATTTGCCGGCATAGACCTTTGCTGACGAACTTTCATCAGGACAGGTTTTCTTTCTTTTTTAAAATATTTAAAATATATAAAATTAGTTTATTTGCTATACAGTACAAGTAGAGTATTTTAAAAGTACAGCCGCACAACTGTACTCTATAAATAGAAATTTTAACCGTATAGGCGCGCGACTATACCTTAAATTTTATAAATAACTTAAATAAAAGAAAAGGAAAAACCGAGTATAGCCGGTCGGCTACACTATTTTTTTTATAATAAAAAAAAGGACAAGACTAGAGCGCTACGTGTCAAAAAAAGTACGGTCAGTTACTAAAAAGAAATATTAATTAACTCCTTATATTTAAAGCATATGTTTAAGGAACAAATGAAAAAATATATATATATTAACCAAGTTGAAGCTAGAAGATTGATTGCTCATGAAGAAAACTTATCCCATCTAATCCCCACAAAATTGTAGGATAGCAACACTTTCTAATTAATCCCTCCTAATCCCCCCAAAATGGAAAATCATTCACATCTACCTTCATTTCCTCCTTCACAATACCTTAGATTTAGTGACTATTATCCAATCCAATCCGAAGTGAGCAATCTTGAGCTGGAATTGGTGGAGTTGGTAAAGGGTGGAGTTGTCGTTGTTGTCGTTCGTTTAGGAGAGAGCGAAGAGAGAAGGGAATTTCGAGGGGATGTGCATGGTGGATTTAGTCTAGACATTTCCAAGTACATACCTTTTTCTCACAATTCTCTGGTTTGTTTATCACGTTATTTGGATTTTAATTTATGAGTAGAATCGAAGGTTGTTCTTTTCGACTTATGATTTTATTTCTCGTCTTACTGTCTCCTAAATGAGGGGATAGATTGTCCAGTTTCTATTGCCAACAACCCCTTTGATCCCGTCACACAAAACCTTAGAGTCAATTTCAAAAGGCACACAATCAAATTTCATTAGTTTTGTTAACACCAGAGCATGGAGAGCAACCAAGGCCTCAGCCATCAGCACTGAACTACTTCTTGTCGGAATAGCCATACCACCTCGCAATAAGCCATTTGAGCCTCTTGCCACCACTCCTAAGCCAACCTTGTGGGAAGACCAATCCCATGCTGCATCAAAATTAACTTCAATCCAGCCACTTCTGGGAGGGAGCCAAAAACAATCATTAGCTTCGCCCACCACAAAGGTAGATGGTCTGGTTGGTTGTGTGAACTATGGATATTAAACAGTTAGTGAGTTAGGTGTGCAAAGCACGTGAGTGGTTAGTAGTGAGGAAGTTAGATAGCTGGATTGGTTAGACGGTTAAGCCTTGCTTAACAGGTATAAAGTGTAACAGTGCTGTAGCAAAACAGATTAAGCAATATAGAAATCAAGATTGCAATTTCTCTCTGTCTATCTTTCTCTCTTCTTCTTCATTCCTCTTTCTCATACTTCTCTGAGAATATTAGTTAACATGGTATCAGAGCCCTCAGTGGCTTTCACCTAATCACTCCATCCTTTCTGCGCTTTCTCTGTCTTTCAAGTCGATCCTTGCCTCGTTTTCTTTGATCTTCTTCTCTGTTCTCTCTATTTTCTCCTTCAATTTCACTTCTAGGTTTTTCTCTCTGCTTCATCATGGCTTCTTCTTCCTCCATCAAGATTGATGGCCTGCTCAGTATGGTTACCATTCGTCTCTGTGACAACAATTTCTTAAAGTGGAGTTTTCAATTGGAGTCTGTGTTGCAAGGGTATGAGCTTTTTTGGGCATTTCGATGGCTCTATCGTTCAGCCACCAAAATTTGCAATCTTGGACGAAGAGGGTGTTACATCTCAAGTAACAGCAGGTTACAAGGAATGGCTGAAGACTGACAAGGCCCTTCTCAATTTGCTCATCGCCACTCTATCGGATGAAGCTTTGGAATATGTCATTGGGACCAAGACGGCTCGAGATGCTTGGCTCAATTTGGTGGATCGCTATGCCTCAGTTTCACGAGCTTGCATTAATCACTTGAAGATTGAGCTCCAAACTGCTCAAAAGGGGGGAGATTCTATTGAAAGATTTCTGCTTCGTTTAAAGCATGTTCGAGATCAACTTGCTCAAGCCGG